ACAACCACCTGTTAGAGCCACCATTCATGACATCATCACTAGCTTATAGTGTATGAAGATCGCCAGGATAGCAGCGACTGCAACCCCTACACCTCCAGAACCATTAAGTATCCCCCCTTCCCCTCACCATATTAGACTTGTAGCATCCCCCAAGCCAAATAGCCTAGCACACCCTCTATTGTTCTTAACGCTCACTCGAATATACAAGTAGCACTGTCTCATCCACTACATATCGCCTAATCCTGAGAGAATTGAACTACACTACACAATATCTCGCGCAATGCCAGTTGTTTGTTGTGCTCTGTGATGTGTGGGATGTTGGAATTCAGACGACAAAATCCTTGTCACTATGAGCCAAGAATGAATTGAGTGAGCACAATATGCGTTGTAAGACACACAGTGTTCTAGGCAATTGGGCTGGGGGGATGCTACAAGTCGAATATTGTGAGGGGAAAGCGGGATACTTAAGGGCTGTCGAGGTGTAGAGGTTGCAGTCGCTGCTATCCTGGCGATCTTCATACACTATAAGCTAGTCATGATGTCGTGAATGGTGGCTCTAACCTCGTAGAAGGGTGGTTTTGTTTTTTCACACGTAGATAAGCTACAAGCACAATCGTTGTGGAGGGGACATGAGGCCGTGGGGGGTTAAACGATGTAACGTAAAAAACCAATTTAAGATAACTTAACCAATTTAGGATAACTTTGTATTGCCCAATCACACCTCGTTATTTGTTCGAGTCAAAACCTCTATCATATAATGCTGGCCATTCCGTCAGGTGAATGAAATGCAAAAACGGAGTAGAAGCCATTGGTAATAGTCATTCAAGATTGGGTTTGAAGTTCCCTAGTCGACACGGGCCACATTGGGTTGGATCTGAGGTCTTGTCGAGTGTTAAACTCGGTGGACATCCATCCACAACAGAAATTTAACTCTATAAAACAGTACCCTTGTATAAATTATATGCAACCTGTTGTATCCTCTTACCCTAAACACAGAATTTCAATGCTCAGACACATACATACTTTAAGATAAAAAAAGTTATCCTAAATTGGTTATCAAAATGTCAGTACAAATGCTTAGAACGTAACAAATTTACCTGTGAAGTTCATCGCCTAAACTGATAGTTCGATTATGAAGTCAAAGAGGCGCGTCTTGTCTATTGGAATCACTATTCAAAACTCAAATATCGTAACGGACTCAAAAGTTATGTCCATTCTACTCCGACGCCTCCAAAAAAGTTATCTTAAATTGGTTTTTTACGTTAGTGGGGTTGCAATCGATACAGCTGTAGCGATTTACATGCACTATGAGCAAGTCGCACATAGTGGCTGAAGCCTGTACTTTTAGGTGTGGATTCACCGCCACTCTGACCCAATTGCTAGCATTTACACGAATAACTAGTCGTTGAGCTCCACGCGCAGCTGTACGTTTTACTTCTTAACTTTCACGCAAAGTCACATTGCACACACATAACGCATACTAGTACAAAGGAATATCATATTGGGTCGTAGAGGACGACGGGCTTGGAGGCTGGCATGGTTCAGGACTCTAGAATGCTTGTCTTGCCTTAGAGCATCTCCACCCGACAGTTTTATAGTTCAGCTTTTTACGGATAACCTTTAGATAGGACCAGTGTTGGTCGTATGCTCCCAGCCGTTGGCTTTATCCGGGTCTAAATAAAGCCATTCATAAGATCAGCCCCGGAAAGCCCTATCATAGGACTTTTTCGCCGTAATAGGGAGATTTCGCAATTCTCATCCGTGTTCGTGAGAAAAATGACACGGATACGACCACGGACACGGATTAAATTTAAACGATTTCGCTGTATAAAGAGATTTCCGCGTCCGGAATAAACATAAGGAATCTGCTACTTAGCAATAATGTTGTCGTCAAGCGTTCTTGCTTCGCGAGGCCTGCCCGTCATCGCAGACTTCTGCTCGCACATTCCTACCATCGGTCAACACCATCCAAATACACAGAATCCTTCTGGAACTTTTCGTGGATGTCGAGGATCAGGTGGAACCTGTGCGATGTTTTCTTGCTGTCAACGTCGAGCTTGGCAAGAGAAGCCGGAACTTAAAGCAAGTTGCACGCGAGCACCCCCCAAGACTTCATGACCACATGGTGGAGGAATGGTCGCTCGTGGTTGGCCTTTATCCACAGCGCCAAGTCATCCTCGCTTCTCAACCTGCTCATACTGTAGCACACGAAACCATCAAATGGAACCCTCCTGTTCGGATAACATCTATTTCTTATGATTATCCGAATCCGTGATTGCTGCTCTTTTCACAAGAGCCCATTAATTGACCGCTCCTACGACGACCTAACCCCTTTGCACCCATTTTGGGCTGTTTTCATTGGCTATAATTCATTTTCCTCAGATTTTGAGAGCTATACAAACTCCAAGTTAAGGTACTTGGTCGTTGAACAGGCCTCGTCTGGGAGTGGCACGGCCTACGGCCTACCTGCCGCTTTTCCCGACGAGAGGAAATGATAGGAAGTCCCCGTGGGGCACGATGGCGTCGCGCCACAGCGCTCGCTTTGGTGCGAGTCGCTCTACACTCTATCTACGCTACGCTAAAGAAGTCCTGGTTAATGGGGAAAAAGTGGGCAAAAAGCTGGGGTTGAACTGGTGTCCTTTCGGACCCCATGTTCAAACCGCTAGACCACGGTGGCTGGTTCTTTTGGCATTGCTGTTAAGCTTAGTGTATTCAAAAAGAATCTGAGCACAATGAATTATATCCAATGAGCAGCGACCACACCCATTACTACAGGGTTAGGTCGTCGTAGGAGCGGTCAATTAATGAGCTCTCTTTTCACGGATTCCGCTATAAAGTTTCATCAGTTTCCGTGATTGTACTAATTACTGAGGGTAATTATTACGGAAACGGACACGGATTACTTTGCGAAATCTCCCTAATATCACTCTCCAGCTTTATGCTATCCGGACAAGTAATATAATTGAAAATAATATGCAAATTCAATATTCGTAATAGTAAAACACAGTACACTACGCAACATTTACAAAAATTCCCATTCAATTTACACAAGTTGCCTCCAGTGCTCGCAGGTACTACAGAAGAACATGGTGTTGTTGTATCACAACCATTGCGAATGAGGTGCCATTGAAGTGCATTAACGTCGTAACGTCAGTTCACAATCGCAGGGGGCAAGGCAGAAGGTACTGTATTGTACTTACCTCAAACCATCCGCAAAATGGCCCCCGTATGATTACCGTATAGGTAACAATAACTACCCGGGCTTAATAACTACTTTTGGGCCTTCGCGGGCACAATAACTACCCTCAGCGCCGCAGGCGGGCTAAATTTCACTACCCTGGGCAATATGGTCAACTTAATGAGTCCATGAGCAAGTTGCTCATCGTTAATGCCTCGGAAGAATTTTGGAATGCCTGAATTTATGTACTTCCAAGTAAAAATAAAAATACGAAAAATGTCTCGAAATGGTGGACTTGAACTCGGGACTTTCAGGTCACGAATCGGGCGCTCTACCACTTGAGCTACAGATGCCGAATTAAAAACCGGCACGCGAGGACACCTCAAAAGAAGGGATATCCGGATGAAGAGGACCCGCGGTTCGGTTAAATAACTGGATCGTGAGAACACTGTAAACACAACCAACACCCCCCCCCGAGTGAGCCCAATCAGCCGGA